TCCAACCAGACAGCCTCTGTCTTGCTTGGAGGAGCTTGACTGACCCCAGTCCCCAACATTGCCTGAAAGATAACTCTACCTGGTGCATAGGCCCGGGCCTCCAGTCCTGTGTGACCACTTCCCTGCCTAGTAAAGCCTGAGCTACACGAGTGCTGTTGTAATTACTGCCTCTGTTCTTCTGGGCCGATTGTGTTGATGAAGTTGAGGTTCTTTGTTCTGATGTCCATAGCTGGGCTGGATGATGGGGAAGGGTGCAGAAATGTAGTGTAGTGAGTCCCCAGCAGAGAGTTAGTTTAGCATCCTTCTTGCCTCCTCTGTGGTATGGCTATAGGTCTCCAGGTGTTTTCTTTGTGTGTGTGTGTGTGTGTGTGTGTGTGTGTGCGCGTGTGCGTGTGCGTGTGCTACTTCTAGGGCTTGAACCCAGGGCCTGGACTGTGTCCCTGACCTTTTTGGCTTAAGGCTAAGGCTCAACCACTCAAATCTCAGTGCCACTTTTGGCTCTGCTTAATTGGAGATAAGAGTCTTGGGCTGACTTTTCTTTCCAGGCTGGCTTTAAATTGCGATCCTAAGCTCTCAGCCTCCTGAGTAGCTAGGATTGTAGGTATGAGCCACCAATGCCTGACTTATACTTCTTTTTCACTCCTTTTCTCTGTCAGACTCTCCCACTTTAGTTCAGCCTCCTCCTCTCTTCTTACTAATCTGAATGCTGAATCCAAGCACAGAGACCTTTGCTGTGATTTTATTTAGAAGCCCAACAACCTTGTGTTTCCCAGCACTGTCATCTCTGTATAAGACACAATGCAAAGATATGCACACAATATCACCATCAGCCTCAGCCTCACGTCACGGCTAATCATGGGTCACCAAGAGTTCATTTATTTGATACCAGTAAAAACTACGTTACTAGAGATTTGGAAATTTGAGGCAATAGTCTAATGTGTTTATTAGCCTGGAATCAATTTCTTCTCCCCTCCCCTTGCAAACAATGTGTTTTCTCAGCAAGGTCTCATCAGCTCTGGTTCTGGTCCAGGTACATAGCCTTGGGCATTGTACCAAAGCTACCTTGAGCATGGGGAGGAAAAGTGGGGGAGAGTAGAGAACACAGCACTCTGGGCCACTGGGCCTGGCTCATTGTGTACAGATAGTGGTGGACCTCCCTTGAACCCGTTGGAATTATCTGTGTACTCTGTATCCTGGAAAGTACTCCCCCAACAGAACTTTTGAAAGGCTATGGTCTGGTTGATGTGTCAGGGTTGTGGATGAGGTAGGTTGGATTGCAGTGAGATTGGACTCGGTTATCAGGTGGAGAAATTTGGACTTTCTTCTCTCATGAGAAGCCTGCCCAAACTTTCTCTGTAGGTCTTGTTCTTGGTGTCCCTTCTCATCTAGGATTTGCCAAGTCATGGGGTGGAACCTGGGCAAGAAAGAGCATGTCTGTGCACACAGGAGGTGACAAAGTCTCACTAGCTGTGTGGAAGTCTTTTAACCTCATTGGACCTCAATGAGAAGTCTCCTAAGTGGTGCTGGCAGGATGGCTCTTGCAGAACAGCTGAGTGGAACCGTTGAAAATGCAATGTCATGTTGTTAGCATTGCCTGCCAGCTCATTATGAGTAGAAGCCAGGGGCTACAAGCCTCAGCTGGGCCACACCCTGAGTCAACAATGAAGGGTCCTTCTATACCCTTTGTGACAAGCCTCTCTCATATCAAGATTGGGCATGCAATGAAGGGCAAACAGGACTGGATGCAGAAGCTATAGCTTCTCACAACACCCCACTCCCTACCAGGCAGCCTCTGTCCAGTGACCAGACCATTTGGGGAGGGCCATAGGGAAAAGCAGTGAAATCCCACCACTTAGACACCTTACCCTTTTAGATAAAGCACCACCCCTTGCCAGAGTCCATACCATCAATCCATATTTGAGCCGCCCATTTCATCCCCTGAGGATTAATCCCACTTAGCTAATAAATCACTCTTTGCTATTTGCCTAGTTTTGTGTCTCCTTTGCTGTACCTGGGGCAGCTAGAGCACAGTGTCTAGTAAGTGGCCTTCCTAGAGTTGGAGGGCTAAGCAGCCTGGGTTGCTGCCAGTGTTTGATCTCTGTGAAAATGCTACTCTTCCAGGGAAGCTGCCTGGGTCAGTGGGCAGCATATCTGAGCCCTGGTTGCCCCTACTCACAGGGTCTGAAGATCTCTGTCTACTGAAGACTAGCTGCTTCCTCCCAAGACCTATGTTTTCATAGATGGCCCAGTGGTCCAACAAGTAGAACTCTGCAATGCTCAGATGCAAAGGGAGACCCATCAGAGCCTGGGCTCTTGCTGGGCTCTCTGGAGTGCTGCTTCTTCTTTCTACTTCCATCTCTTCTGCAAGGCCTTATATTTCTCTTTCTTCTATCCACCCCTCTTTCAGGCAAACTTTGCTAAACAAACTCTTTTATATTAGTTCAGCCTCCTCCTCCCTTTGTCCTCCTCATCTCAGTGCTAAATACAAGCATAGAGTCCTTTGCTGTGATTTTCTTTTTTGGAGCACAATGATCTTGTGCCTCTATCCCACCTCCTGCTCCAGCCTCCCGCCCCCAGTACTATCCCAAAGGGCAATTATTTCCTTGTGGCCAGGCTCTGTCCCCAGTGTGGGAAAGATGGATGAGATGACCTCTGCTGGCCTCCTCCACCCATAGTCCAACCTTTGCACTGAAAGTTCAAATCATTATTGATACACTGAGTTTATTCATTGCAATCCTAACAATGCATTAGCTATTGCATTAGCTCAGTTATTTCCTACAGATAACAGCCTTGTCCTTGTAAACTCATTCCCCGCATTCCCCCCTTCTTTTCCAAGCTGAAGGAAAATGCATAAATACAAGGCCACGTGTCAGGCCCCAACAAGACACTTTCTAAGGGGCCTCCAAAGGAAGGTGCTCACTTGTTCCATTTTCCCCCTAAGCCATCAACTTTGGAACCCAATGAGAAGTTTAGACCCTCTCTGCAGCTCTCCTGCATTGAATATATGGTCAAAACAGGTCTGCATGGCAACTGGAAGAATAAAAAGTGATTTTTTTGTGGTAGGCCTCTTGGGCTCTATCTAAAAGTACTTGATCCAAAAGAAGTTTCACTGGATTAGGATCAGACCATACAACATCCTTAAAGACACCCGACTCTTGTCCACCATTCAGATCTTCTTTCAGTTTCCCAAGTGAACTTCCCAAGCAGGAAGAAAGCATATTCCATAGTTTTATCTATTTGGCAGTCATAGGGAAAGTGTAGAAGTCAGGTGTGTCTGCTTGGGGCAGGCCCATGTTCAACCTGTACCCAGACAGGAGTCTGCCTTCCCTTTCCCAGGCAGATTATTTTCCCTGTCTGTTGTATTTGGTTTGGAAGTCCAGAAATTTGCATTTGTATTCCTAGCAGGGCTCTTATTAACTGAGATTTAAAAAAAGAAAAAGACAACCAAAATATATGTTCCCTGTGTCTCAGACAGAGGTATTTGCCAATGTTTACCATTGCACACTATCTTGAAACAGCTTTTCTAGGTCTCCGCATTCCATGTTGATGCATTGCTAAACATCGATTTCTGTGTATGTGTGCACGTGTGTGTGTGTGTGTGTGTGTGTGTGTGTGTGTGTACTCAGGGCAGGGGTTGAATGAATTCAGGGCCTTGTCACTGTCCCTTAATATTTTTGCTCAGGCCAGCACTCTACAGAACACTTGAGCCACATTTTTTGGCTTTATGTGGTTACTTGGAGATAAGAATCCCACAGACTTTCCTGCCTGGACTGGCTTCAAATGGTGAGTAGCTAAGATTACAGGCATGAGCCACCAATACCATGCCCCATTTCTTTTTTTTAAGTTCCATTATCTGTTCTCCTCTAGCTATTATATTTTCTAGGTTGCTTGGCATAAGGCAAAGTCAACCCTAGGCCAACTGACTGCATACCTCTTGGTTTTGAAATAGTCTTCTGCCTTCAAGGAAGGAAGCAGGCAGGCAAGAGGCTATTCTTTTGCGATATTGCACTTGCTGAGGTCTCAGATTCCAGAGTGATTTTAAAGGCCATTTGAGTCCTCCTGTGATACCAAGAGCACAAGGGGTCAGGGGCCTGGGCCAGGGCTAAGGCTAGAATCCAAGGCTCTAGACAGCTAAGGCTTTGAGCCTGGCCTATCTGTTGTCTTGTGTGGTATCCTCTGAGGACCCCTCTTGTCAGGTGTCCTGTCTTTCCTTGGAAAGCAGAAGAGGTGTCTGGCCCCTTGGAGCTTAAGAGATCCTCCATCCTAGCTCACCATCCAACTGTGAGCTCTGCAGCCAAGGCTACCCTGCTGTCAGTGTGCATTTCTGCTAGCTGCTTCAGTCTATGGCACAGTGGGCTTGGGTGTGGGGGTGAGGATACCTCACCCTCTTTTTTTTTTTAATTTAGATTCACAGATGTGGCCAAAATGTTTAGTGGCTATTTTGCATAATCAAAACCTGATCCCCCTCAGAGCTTGTGCTTCAATTTCTCAGAGAGCACATATTCCCCATATCTGTCCTTTGTCCTAGGTCCTAGTTCATGAACGCCTGTTTCTGTAGATAGGAAACTTTAGAAGTTTCCTTCAGATTGGCCAGGCTTGTTTTTCCAATAATAGGGGCTGAGACTCTTTTAAGCTGGACTCTGGCAGCCTGAGCTTCACCAAAACACAGGATCTTTATAGCCCTGGGTGGAGGAGTGCATGGACTGCGCCCCAGGAGCCCAGCAAGGGGCGGGCTGGGGAGCAGGAGAGCCTGGTGCTGACTTAGGTTCTCAGATGTCCACACCTTGCTCCTAGCCCATGCAGGCTGAGGCTCCTTGGAGTGTTTCCTTCTGCCTCTTCCAGCGTTCCAAGAGCCGCCCTGTGGCCCTCCCACCCCTCTCCTTCTGCAGCACAAGGTTGGAGGAGACTTGGGGTGGACCCAGGAGGTGGAGCCCAGAGGGATGGAGGGGGAGGGGGAGCCTCAGCGGGTTCACGCGGGAGGAAGGGGCGGGCCTACCCTGGGTTTTTCCTGGATTCCAGGATAAAGTCACTGTTCAGCCCCTCCGAGGCCGATCTGCGCAGTCCACGACCCCAGCACCATGCCCATGATACTGGGTTACTGGGACGTCCGCGGGGTGAGCCGGAACTCCGCCGGGAGCAGGGCGGGGGACGCGGGGCGAGGGACGCGGGGCGGGGGACGCGGGGCGGGGTCTTTTCAGCAGGGCCCGCTGGGCGCCTGTTGCTGGAGTGCATGCTCAGCAACCTAGGATGCTCTGCACCTAACTCTCAGCTCTCCAGAGCTCACACGCGTGAGACTACGCAGCGTGGGGTGGTGGGGAGGTGAGTGGGGTGTGCTGTGCGGAAGGGGCACCGAGGAAGAGGTGAGGCCAAGCAATCAGGCTTCTCCCTTCCCCTTCTGACTTCCGTCATTTACCCTCTGTCTCAGCTGACTCACCCCATCCGCCTGCTGCTGGAATACACAGACACAAGTTATGATGAAAAGAGATACAGTTTAGGGCCCGGTAAGGACATTCCCTGATCAGACTCTTGACCAAGGCTTGCCCATGGGGTGCTCAGCCACTCCTACCGTGGTCACCTGTTGCTCAGACCTGCAGGCCTCCTCCATGTGCACCTAAGGTCTGCTTCTTCTCCAACCCCTGTAAGATGCAGTTTGGTATTCCATTACAAGGAGCTGGGAGAGGAGGGCTGGGGCCCCCTCTGTCTGAAGTTGGGTGGGGTTGCCTAGCATTGGCCTAAACCTTTTGTGACCCTGGTCCTTAGATCCCTCATTCCTTACTGCATTCTTCACCCCTGTAGCCTTGAAATGTGGGAGGGACACAGCTGGTCAGAGTGTAGGTCCACTGCCTCAGGGGGTCCTGGGGAAGGAGGGTTGGACTCAGGAAAGTTTGCTTTCACTTGATCTTGTCCACCACAGCTCCTGACTATGACAGAAGCCAGTGGCTGAGTGAGAAGTTCAAGCTGGGCCTGGACTTTCCCAATGTAGGTGCAGGGGAAGGGGTGTTCAGGGGTAATTAATGAGGGTGACCCTCTTGCATCTCCATTTTCTAGTGTGGCCTCCCTTCCTTTTCTCCTTACCCAGCTGAGTTTTTAGGGTAATGCTTCTGCTCTACGCCTCTCTTTCCTGGCTATCTGTGGTTTTCTATAATGCTCTATGTCCCAGCTCTTGCATTCATTCTGCAGGATGCTTATGTAGGGCTCACCATGGCCAGGCATATTGAGTGCTAGATTCTGTGTCTGCTTTGACCCAGAGAAAGGCTGCTGGGACCTGGGGCCCCTTGTAACCTTCCCTGATTGTCCATCCAGCTGCCCTACTTGATTGATGGAGCTCACAAGATCACCCAGAGCAATGCCATTCTTCGCTACATTGCCCGCAAGCACAACCTGTGTGAGTGGGGCTGGTGGCTGGGCATGGGGGGGGAGGGTAGGCAGTGGCCATCCCCTGGGCTTGTTTGGGATGGAATGGTGAAGGTTCATCTGTGTTGTGTGGATGCAGGTGGGGAGACAGAGGAGGAGAAGATTCGTGTGGACATGATGGAGAATCAGGTCACAGATATCCGTACACAGTTCATCATGCTCTGCTACAACTCAGACTTTGTGAGTTCCCCAGTTGTGAGGTCCCCATATGGCTGAGAAGAGGAGTTAAACCTTTGCAGTTACATCTTCAGTGTTTCAGTTCAGCAAAGGAATTTGTTAGTGGTACCTACTCTCTAAGGTTTCCTATCCTATCAAGTTTCCTCTCCTTCAGATTGACCTTCGGTATTTTAGCACATCAAGTCAAGCTTGAATCCATGCTAACTAATCATAATATAGTTTAGATTATCCAGGATGAATATTCTGATCCTAGTCTCAAGCCATCAATATAAGGTGCAAAACAAGGGAGAGCAATGAAGCCTGATCTTCTTTTGTCTTCCCAACTATTTCCCCGGAACTGTGTCTTTGGCATTAGCAGGAATTAGGACTTTTTCCTAATAGTCAGCTCAGGATCTGAGAGATAACTTCTGTTCCTTTTTCACCACTGTTTCAACATACACACAAATCCTGTGGTAGGAGTACAGCCCTCCCCCATTCATACCACTGTTTTTTCTATTTTTTTTAAGTTTTTTATTGTAAAGATACTATACAGAGTGTTACAGTTACATGAGTAAGGTAATGAGTACAATTCCTTTTGAGCATTGTTACCTCCTCCATTGTTTTCCCCCTACCATCCTTTCCCTCCCTACCTTCCCCAAGGTTCTTTTTTTTTTTATTAAATAATTACATAATTTCTCAAATTTCACAGTATTGTGGAATAATGTTGCTCATTTAAAGTCACAAGTTCATTCTAACTTTCCTGGAGCAAATTGTCTATCACAGTCTATAACATATAACGGTATACACATATACACCATACATGTGATCAG